CCGCTCAGCTGGGGGAAAATGCCAAAGGCCCCATTTTCGGCCAGCTGATCAGCAGTTCCAAAATGGCCGCCCGCTGTGTTGCCTCGCTTTAGAGGCACCGAAAATGGCCGCCCCTATGGAGGATCTTCGCTCAAAGGTGAGTTTTAAGCCCACAGGAACGCATTAATCGTGTTTTAATGCGTTTCTATGGGCTTTTTTTGTTCCGTTTAGCGATGCTTCCGGATAACGACGATTTATCCGAAACGGATTAACGTCGCTATGCGGGGCACCACTGTACTACATTTCACAAGAAAAAATATGCTTTATTAAACTGGCATCTAGAGATAATTCTAAACAAATCAACTTGAAGGATCGCTTTAGAACACAGAACTTGCTCTTTATGGCAGGTGTGCAACCAGTGTACCCCTACAGATGTTGCTGGCAGCTCCCTCCAGTTCCAGCCACCATAGTCAATGGTGCGGAATCATAGGAAGTGCAGTCCAACAGCTCGAAAGCTATATGCTCCCATCACTGTTTCACTACATTCCAACTCTTGTTGAAAATACACCACCTTTATCTATCTGCTCAGCGCTACTCAGGCTGAAAGGTTCAGACCACCTCTTTTGTTAGCCTTCAAGTGACTCCGTCTACGAATGACATGTTAGCAAGACTTCCCAAGAAAATTCCCATATATTTTTAAAAAATCAAAGGACTGTTTTAAAACTTTCATTTACCAGAAAAATCTGATTTCTCTACTGAAGACTCAATTTCCAGAACATCATCTTTCACTTCCAAACGTTCAGGAGTTGGTGTGTCAGTTTCTAGTAAAATGCTATTTCCAAACATATAAGGGAGTCTCTCGTATATCTTTAATTTATCTTCAAGCTCTGTAATCTGAAAGTGTTACAACATAATTTTTAAAACCAAGCAACAGTTTTAAATACTCTAAAAAACCATGTTCAAAATGTCATCTTGCCTAACCTTGTCCTGCAACATTTTCAACTGATTTGCATGTTCCTGGTTTCTCTCTTCAAGAATTCTCGTATGATCCTCCTCTTTTTTCATGAGTTCTACTTCTCTGGTACAAGGGGGAAAAGCACAAAACATTATGCAAAATAAAAGTTTTATTTGCAAAACGGAATTTATTGAAAACACTTTGTGTATTAAATTGAGCTTGTCATCAACTTTGGTTACTTGGTAAGCACTCTTTGCCTTGATCAGCTCAATAACTCAGTAGGTTTATCAACCTGGCCAGCTACATTTATAATAAAGCCTGAAATCTATCCCCTATTGTAAGCATCTCTCTCTCTCTCTCTCTCTTTCTCTCTCCCCCCCCCAAGAGAGAGAGATGCTTATATGTGTGTGTGTTTCGTTTCCTCATGTACTCTATGCTACAAACAGCAAGTAATAACTTTTCAGGGACTAGCCTGACAATGAAATATATTGTGCATTCTGTATCTATGCATTCTGTCCCCTGCAATCACACTGTGTTCCAGAATCTCCACAGAACAAGATCTCCAGTGAAGGCATTCTGTGGCATTGGTATCTGAGCAGGTGTAAACCATATTCTTAACTTTCAGCTGCCTGACAAGTATACTATAGTTAGTTGTTTTTTAATAATAACAATAACAATAACAATAACACAGCTAGGACTGAAAATGTCAAACCTATTTTTTTGTCCCAGTCAATGTTGCAAGCATATTGAGAGCAAAAAAACATTCCAGATCACAGACATGGGATATTCATATTCATATCACAGGGGATACAAATACAAATATGGGCTCCACAGGTGCTTAGGAAAACTGGACCGTTCTCCCCAAACCAGCAAGTCCAATTAATGTGTGGCCAGTATTACTCTCGTCTTGCCAATCCAGGAAGCATCCTGGCCACTGTTTTACCACTTCCCTGCACAGCCGACTACTGAACAGCTAAGCGGGGAGACTCATCATCCTGCGTCCTCATCAGAGTGGTCGACTATGCAGGGAGGAGGGGAAGTGCCAGCCGAGCCACTTCCCGTGTGCCGCACAGCGAGCAGCAACTGGACCTGCCAGTTCAGAGGGGAAGGGTCCAGTTTTCCTAAGCACCTGTGGTGCCAATATTTGTATTCATATCCCCAGGGATATGAATATGAATATTCCATGTCTAACCATGATACAACTGATTATCAACAGGCTAGCACCAGTCCATTAAAACTGAAAATTCTTCCATGGCGTGACAACTGATTTTTCATTAAAGTTAAGAAATACAAGGTCTACACCATATCCTAATCACAAACCTGACCCTCAACTCTTTAGAATTCTCATTCTACAACTCATACAATTCAAGTTTTTAAAAATCCTAGTACAAAAGAATACAGTGGTACATCGACCTACGAACTTAATCCGTATTGGAATGGCGTTCGTACGTCAAAAATTTCGTACGTTGAGGCAAACTTTTCCATAGGAATGCACTGAAAACCATTTAATCCATTCAGGCTGTTTTTCGTTCATATGTTGAGGCATGTTTGTAGGTAGAGGCATGAGTTCCCATAGGAACTAATGCAAATCGAGTTAATCCGTACTCTACAACTAGGGAGCAATTTTTTAAAATTTTTTCTTCTTTTGGCCTAAGATGAACTTAAGTCAAAAAAAGGGCAGGAAACGTTTTTTTTTGGGGGGGGTTGTTCGTAAGCCGAGGCTCTGTTTGCAAGTCAAAGCAACATTTTGCAAACGGAGCAATTCGTAACGCAAATCGTTCGCAAGTGGAGACGTTCGTAAGTCGAGGTACCACTGTACTTATTTTTAGTTACAATGCAACACCTTTTAGATTATTACTTTTATGTGCTTATCTCATCAGCTTTTGGGGGCGGTCAAATGACAAAAGTGATCTGTCATCATGCCCTAACAGGCTATATAATAGCAAATCATAAACCACATTTTTGAAACTAAAAACAAACAAACACAAAACAACAACAACAACAACACTATGGAAACTAGTTGCTAAGGTAATGGGAAAGGTGCTGCAAAGGAAGCCTCTGGATGCTAACACTTGCCTACTATTTCTCCTTTCCAGTCTTCAGTGCCTGCTTCCATTTTTCTACACCATCCAAAATAAAGCACTGACCACTTGAAGCCATACTTGAGACCTTAAGATATTACAGTATATGTAGTATATGCAAATAATGGCAATGTAAAATAGCATGAATGTCTGTAAGAAAATGACAACGAACTCACTTTTGTTGATACTCTTTCAGTAATTTCTTAGCTTTGTTGTACTTTTTTTCCAGAGCATCATATTGTTCCTGAGTTTCTTTAAGATGTTCATTTACTGTTTTACATAAGCTCTGTGCCTCCAGCCAGTAGGTTTCCAACTTCTTTATTTTTTCCTTGTTCTCATCTAATGTTTCCTGGAGCTGGGCTTTACTCAATTCCCATTCCATCTTTTCAACTTCTGTTGCTTTCAACTTTAAAAATAATTCATTAGAATATTAAATACACTGCAATGTTTCTACACACTGATTTATAATTGTTATTTTTTGAAAAAGTCAAACCTATAATTTAAGTTACCAGCAAGAAAAAATAGGATACATGCAAAAGACTAGTGGATGGTACTCTCAACACATACATTATACTGAAAAGATTAACTAAAATTGCTATACAAATTTCTGTAAATCCATCTCAGAAAAAAACTGTACAAGACCGTTCATTTTATGACACTTCTGATTTTAATATTCACCCTGGGCTAGATCCAAACTACCTTGAAACAAAACTTCTAAAATTCTGACTGCCATGGTTGATATAGAACAGGGGTCGGGGAACTTTTTTACCTTTTATCCCCCCAAAAATTTATATACGCCGACATTACCCCCTTGATTCAAAAGGAAGGAAATCATACATTATTTGAATTAAAAATATTACCCCCAGGATTTTCACTTTTACCCAATTTGGGGTAATTTACCAGTTTCCCGACCTATGATATAGAACAGTGGTCCCCAACCATGGGCCTCCAGATGTTCTTGGACTTCAACTCCCAGAAATCCTGGCTAGCAGAGGTGGTGGTGAAGCCTTCTGGGAGTTGTAGTCCAAGGACATCTGGAGGCCCAAGGTTGGGGACCACTGATATAGAAGATTTGTTCCCTATAACAGCAAGAGTTAATGCAATCATTTTGTCCTAAGGACATTTACATAATTACCAAGCTCATTTTTCCAAATGAAGAGACTTTATAAATTAATGGTACCTTGAGAAATGGTGTCTGCTGCTATAGAATCTGCTAGCTTCTAGCTAACAATATTCTGAAGACAGCAAGCAAGCCATGGAAGCTGCATTTATGCTTCAGGCAAATTAATTTCCTCCATTCAGTTTTAAATCCCAACCAACTAGCTGAAATCATGTTGCTTAATGTAGTAAGTTACACTAAAGTAGGCTCACTGAATCAGAGGGGATTTGGTGAGTTTCTTCATCAACTGCACTTTAGTGTAATAACAGTGTAGCAATTAGAGCAGAACCATTTAAATCCATTATACTTATGGAGGAGATGACTCATCAAATTCTTACCAATTCAGTAAGCCTACTCTAGTGCAACCTAGTACATAACAGAGTATCAGCCAGTATCTTTTTTTTTTGCCACAGAGATCCAACTTTCCTACTCATTGTATAAAACAGTCACATGGAATGTGACTGTTTTATACAATGGCAACACCCTTTGCTTCTTACCTACACAGAATACAGAAAAGTACACTTCATATTGCACCAGAAAACCTATTTACAAGGTAGAAAAGAACAGGATCTACAGTGGAAAAGATCTTCGGTAGCATGAGAAAAGAAATCGGAAGGCTTCACATGCTTCTTTCCCTGTGGATAATAGGTAAGGAAGAAGAGGTGCTCCTGCCCATAAAGAATGCACTGTCTTCCACAGGACATAGGAAAGGGAAACAAACGTGGATGAGATGCAGACAAAACTGGGATGCCTATGAGAAACACTTAAGGCAATATATCTCTGTCTAACACATTTCCTTTTTTCACTTGGCTGCGTGTAACTCAACTGGCTTCTTTTCCTTTCACAACTTTACTATGCAAGTGATTTAGTAAACACATCATATATCTATTGATAACAAAGCATCAAAAGGAACATATAAAACTCACAGAGTACTCTTCATAGATTATCACAAGAAATAATTATTTTAAATAATGAGCTTATATTTTTCTTGAATTCAATTACAGTGGTGCCTCGCTTGACGACGTTAATCTGTTCCAGCTAAATCACTGTAGAGCGAAATCGTCGTCAAGCGAAATAAAAAAGTCCATTGAAATGCACTGAAAACCATTCAATACATTCCAATGGGCGAAATACCTGCTCGTTCAGCGAATATCCTCCATAGGGCAGCCATTTTCTGCTCCCTGTATAGCGAAAAATCCGTCCTAAAAACAGCGGGAAGCCATTTTACACAGCAGGCGGCCATTTTGAAAACCCGACAATCAGCTGTTTTGATCATCGTAAAGCGAAAAATCGGTTCCCAAAGCAGGGAACCGATCATCGTAAAGCGTTTTTCCCATTAGAACATTGTTTTGCGATAGCAAAAACCTAATCGTCAAGCCAATTCGTCGTTTAACAAGGTAATTGTTAAGCAAGGCACCACTGTCTTTGGTTTTCACCCCCCCCAAGCATTTGTTGTTTAGTCGTGCCCAACTCTTTGTGACCCCATGGACCAGAGCATGCCAGGCCCTCCTGTCTTCTAAAGCCTCCCGGAGTTGGGTCAAATTCATGTTGGTAGCTTCGGTGACACTGTCCAACCATCTCGTCCTCTTGTCGTCCCCTTCTCCTCTTGCCTTCACACTTTCCCAACATCAGGGTTTTTTCCAGGGAGTCTTCTCTTCTCACGAGATGGCCAAGGTATTGGAGCCTCAGCTTCAGGATGTGTCCTTCCAGTGAGCACTCAGGGTTGATTTCCTTCAAAATGGATAGGTTTGATCTCCTTGCAATCCAGGGGACTCTCAAGAGGCTCCTCCAGCACCACAATTCAAAAGCATCAATTCTTCAGAAGTCAGCCTTCTTTATGGTCCAACTCTCACTTCCATACATCGCTACTGGAAAAACCATAACTTTGACTATGCAGACCTTTGTTGGTAAGATGATGTATCTGCTTTTGAAGATGCTAAGTTTGTCATTGCTTTCCTCCCAAGAAGCAGGCATCTTTTAATTTTGTGGCTCCTGTCACCATTTGCAGTGATTATGGAGCCCAAGAAAGTAAAATCTGTCACTGCCTCCATATCTTCCCCTTCTATTTGCTAGGAGGGGATGGGACCAGTGGCCATGATCTTAGTTTTTTTTTTTTATGTTTCCCCAGCATAGCTGTCAGTATACCAGTGCATATGAGGTATTTTACAAACACTAAATATAAATCAAAACAATATTCAATATGTTACACATAAACACTTACCTTTTCTTTAAGTTGGTTAACTTCAGCTACTGTGACAGCATGTTTCAACTGTAGCTGTATAAGAATATATATATAGATATATAAGACTTGTTGAAGGGAATACACAATTATCTTTGAACACATCGTCTGAAATCCCACTGCAGTTCTGTGTTACCAATGGGGATGATGTCATCACAAACAGCAACTGCCACCACAGATTAAAGGTGATTTCTGGTGAACATGACTCATAAACAATGCAACAGAGTTTTGTGCAACTATCAAATAAGTCTTCAATGAGTGGTGATTTGCCACTGATGATGACATTGACCTTGTTCCACAACAAGATTTCAGTCTTATTCTTTTTATAAGTTTGTTCACCATTATATTTTTATAGCTACTTTAAGCTCTCTGGATTATAGTGGTCTCAGCGTCTGTCTGAAATATGTGTAAAATACATATACAAGTAAAACAAATAATAACTCCCACTGGCACCCACCCCCTAAAATGTGCCCAATCTGGAGTAAGCCTCCATGCACATACCTGCACGTAAAAAAGGAAGCAAAGCTTCTCTGCATGCTATTGGAGTAATATTCAATTAAAGTCTTACACTTCCTAATTCAGTATAAATATGGTTGCTCTATCTATTTGCTCAGAATAAACAGCTGTTTATTTTCTTCTTTATTTTTCCTGGCCTTTAAAATTGCCTTCCCTATTTCGCTGTACTTTTAGAATTGTTTAATACATATTAATCTTTTTGGTACAGAGATTATCCACAAGCTTGTCTGACAAGCTGGTAACTTTTACCATACATATTTATATAGTGATAACTATACTGATAGCTGAAGCAAAGCTAGTTGTAGCTCCACCCATTATCAACTCTTGCCTGACTACTGCCATTATATGGCTCCTAACAGATTGCCCCTGAGGAATTAAGTTTACAAGAGGAGCTCAACACAATGGCTTTAAAACATGGAGTCCAGTATAAGATTAAAACCTCTACTTGTCATTTTAGCAAAAAGCAGAAACTGGACAATACCTCTTTAAATTTCAGTAGGAACTGTGAAGAATCCATGTCCAATGGCAAATTAATGTCTTCATTTTCAGGAAGATAAAATACCTCTACAGATTTTCCATGTAAATTAGATTCAAAAGAATCCTCCTCTTCCTCATAGTCATCATCCTGAAAAGGTATTTAGCAATACATTACACAGCTAAATAAAAAGCTTTAACAGATAAAGGCTTTTTCTGACAAAGAAATGGCTCCCATAACACAAGAAATACTAAAGAAACACATTTACAGATGCTATACCATGATTTTTTTATATGAATGGTATTTTTAAAAACAGATCTGCATATAAATTTATAAACATTTCAACTTAAAATCATTAAATACAGTTTTGAAATACATTGGATCATTTTGTACTCACTTAAATTATTAACTGCACCTACTGTGGTAAGATATCCACCCTGGGCCTAAGAAATCAAGATGTGCCTAAACAGCGTGCTAGTGCATGTAGCCTCATGATTCTCGCTTTTCTCCTCATTTCTTGCAAGTAGATAAGCAAATTGGAAAGCCACAATTAAACACAGATTTCCATTTTGGAATCTCTTTTATCTATGCTCCCATGCTACTAATATGAGCATGATGGTTTATCAAGCCGGGATTCAAACACAATCACTGCTTTGTGTTTGTCGCCCAAACACAATCATTGCTTTAACTGAGGGAGATCTTACAACTTGTATTTGCATCTCGAGACCAACAGTCCATCACAGAAAGAACAGAATGGTTTTGAATTGCTTTTTAAAAACACAACCAAGTGTACCATATGTAATGACCACCAAGTGGTCAGTATGTGAACTGCTGTGACAAACACAGGCAGCAGCTTACTGGTGCTTATCTAAAAACTTTAAATGAGGAGTCTACAAATGGAGCCCTCGAACCAAGTCTGGCCATTAGAAAGTGGCACCTGCCCCCTCCTCCTCAGCTGACAACTGTCAAGTGCCTGAGCTGAAGAGAGGCCATTTTTGGTAACAGAAATTACCAGCAGCGCTTTTAGGGTGCCAATGATGAAGGAACTCGTCCTTAACCGTGATTCATACACTTCGCAAAGCAGGAAAATTAGTTGATTAGGGCAATATATAAAACATATGTTATACATTCAATATGCTCTAGGAAAGTTAAAAAGTTAACTTACTGAACCATTCTGAACATGTATACTTAATAACTGTAATGTTCCCTTCCATCAACAATGCTCAAGAATACAGGTCAATTCTTACAAAGCCAAAGAAAAAGTACCTACAGGGGAATCAGTAGGCATGTTTGCAAACTACAACGACCATCATTTAAAGAAGTGGATCACTTTCAGACCAAAGAGGGGGAAAAAACCAAACTATATATGCCTGTTTTTATGGAAAGGTCAGAATGAACAGGGAGCATAAAGGTAAATCTGTAAAGATTATCAGTCACAGCATGAATTGCTTTGACTATTCAGGTTGAACATTCTAGGATATATACACTGTGAAGTAAGTGGAAGCAGAGGAGAGAAGGCCCAAACGGGAATGACAACGAGTAGTGGGGCAGTGAGCAAAATGAACGGGCATGGAAAAGATAAACGCAAAGATACAAGAGCTACAACCATATCGTCCAATGCAATTGCAGAAGGGCAGCGGTGCAAGCAAACCCATCTCATTCGCAGTCCATCTACTACACACCAGGATACACAATGGACGGTGAGTGAAAGGGGGAAACCACTTGCACAGCTGCTCTTATGTGTACACTTTTTTTCTAATAGGATTTTTTTGTCCAAGAGAGGAAATCTGCCAACCAAAGGAACAAGGGGAGAAAAGCAAACAAGGCAAAATGGCAGTCATAGTAAGCAGTGCAGAAGCAACATGAAGAAACAGAGTGTCAGGACATGCTCAAAGCAAAAAAGATACAGCCCTGCATAAGAAAGACTGGGGATCAAGTACTTTATTTGCTGAGTCCCCTCCCACCAATCACAGGTAAAATAAGGTGTCAAAAAGACATGTTTGGGGGCAGAAGGAACTAGAGTCCCTCCCCACAGTCTCTACCCCAGTACAGCTGAAGAACCTGGATTGCTCCCTTCTTCAGTCTCCAAATCCCAGGATTCTACAGGACTCACACCTAAATTGTGCTCACCTGGACAAATGCTTGGCAGGAAGACCTCTTAGAAAAGGAAGTTACCCCACTCTTTTTCTAATAGGCACCTAGGCCAGGTCCAGCCTATCCTGAGCCATGAAGCCTTCTAGCTGAGCCTCTCTCCTGGTGAGTACAATTCCGTGTGGGTCTGGCAACTGGAACTCTCAGAATTCTGGGATTCGGAGGGGAGGAGCATGAATAGTACATGCCTATCCCAGACCACTTCGTTTGGTAATTAATACTTATGTCATCCACATTTTAATGTGAAATCCCCACGGCCCTTCTCAGTACTACTTCATCCCATGATCACCCAAGACGGGAACTTGAAATGAGTACAGTGTTGATACAGGTGACAGACCCAGGAAATATCCTGGCTGTCCTTTTTTGCTTCTCTAGCTCCTTACAGGTCACAGTACCCTGGAGTAGGCTGGTTAGCCAATACCCCAAACAGAAACATTGCTATTCCAGATAAGAATCCACAGCAACATTATCTTGCAGACTCTATTTTTATTTATAACAGATACATATTATAGATAAGCCACCTCAAGTCCTTTTTAGGAGAAAGGAGGAGTAAAGATATGTTAAATTAATTGATAAATTAACTGATACCTGTTCTGTATCATCTTGGGAATACTGCTGCTCATATAAACACCTCTCCTGCTCCAGGGTCTCACTGATGAGACGAGCAACTTCACTCTGAGTTCCTGGTTTTTCTCTTCCAATCAAAAACCTAAAGAGAGCCACCAAGCACCAGTATAAAATATTTTTCTACATTAATACCTCCAACGGGAAATAATTCAATATTCATTCTTCAGCTTAGTTAATAAACCTGTCAATTATTTGATTTACAAAGATACACATACCTGACTATGCCTTTTGTATTTTTTAGTACAGTTGCTGCAAAAAACTGTGTTACTCCTACAAGACTTATACCATCGACTTCAACAATCTGATCATTTACTTGAATCCTACAAGGCAAGGAACAAAAAATATTAAGCTCTACATAGCATACTGGACTTGACTCAAGAAGAATAAATAACATTGACTCAAGGGCACTTGAAAATTTGGCACATACAACCCTCCCCTGCAGGAAAGAAACAAAAAATCAGACCGAAAATATTTTTATTTTTAAAAATGGTACAGTATCTGTTATGATTCGTGGCCCCTGAGTGTTTCACCAAACTAGGAGCTCATGCTACGTGCCCCTCAGCTGCCACCAGTTGACTTCATCAACAATACCTACAGTGGTGCCTCACAAGACAATTTTAATTTCTTCCGTGGAAATCGCTGTCTTGCGGAAACATCATCTTGCAAAACCCAGCTCCCCATTGGAATCTATTTAATGCGTTCCAATTGGGGGGAAAATCACTGTCTTGCGGAAGTGTTTTGGGGTGCCCTGCGTGACCCCCGTCAGGGGCTAGGTGTTCCTCCCACAATCCTCTAGTGCACAGGTATTAGCATATGCTAATACCTTATGCTAATTGTGGGAGGAACACCTAGCATTAGCTAAGTGTTCTTCCCACAATCCTCTAGTGCACAGGCATTAAAAATGGTACAGTATCTGTTATGATTCGTGGCCCCTGAGTGTTTCACAGGCATTAGCATAATTATTTGTACTTTTTTTGTACTTATTTGTACAATGTGCTTTTGGAGTTGAATGGGGTGAAAAGTTGTAAAATGGTATTACTGGTCACCTAGTCCCAAGGGTGATGGTGGCACAGGTGGGGGAAAAAGTTTTATATGTATAACTTATTCCCTCACCCATGCCACCTTCACCTTTATAAAAAGCAGTCCCAAAACTCGAAGCAGGATTCAAGGCATGTGTCACTGTAGTCAAATCAGACATTTCCAATAATGGGCACAACTGGAGACTAGTTTTAACTGTCCAAATGTACTTCTGGCTGTCACCAAAGTCTGAACGTCTAGGTTCAGAGATAAATCCAGGAGCACACAAAACTGCAAACCTGATGAAAAAGAGAAACTTGATTTAAGTATCACCAGTGAACTGACAGATGATCTCACCCAGATGTTTGCTATATATATTACATAGCATGGCAGGAAAAATAACATCAAGGAACCTCACAAGGCAAAAGCCAAGACACAGAATAGAAGTCCTCTAGCACCACTTTCTAAGTTTTTCTTTTCTGGAAGAACCACAGCCAGTGTCTTCAAGATCTACCCAAGAAAGGGGGCTCAGACAAATTCCATGGTCAATGGCATCACACACAACTAAATAGCCCATGAAAACCAACAGGAACACACTCCAACTAGTTCCTAGCATAGATCATTCACCAAGGTAATCAAAACTGTCTCAATCCCATAACCGAGCCTAAAGCCAGATTGAAATGGATCTAATGGATCTGTCTCATCCAGGAATACCTGAAGGTGATACTACATATTTCACTACCTGGACCAAAAATGCAATACTGGTGACTGGCTGATATTTATCCAATATAGTGGGCTTCAGAGAGGGAATTTTCAATAATATACAACTGCCTTTTTAGGTGGGGTAGAATCTAGAAAGCATTCACCACTCACCTATCTGACTATTCCCTCCCACGCCCTAGCTGCTTTTATGAGCCAGGAAGAGCAAGGATTTAGCACACACAATGTGACTCTCATTCCTCTAAGGATCCTGCCCACTTCTGCTATATCAATAAAGATGGGACAGTAAACAAAAATTGGATAATAGAATCATAGAACGACGGCGTTGTAAGGGACTTATAAGGCCATCGAATCCAACACCCTACTCCACTGGTTCTTAACCTTGGGTTACTCAGGGGTTTTGGACTGCAACTCCCAGAAGCCTTCACCACCAACTGTGCTGGCTGGGGTTTCTGGGAGTTGCAGTTCAAAAACATCCGAGTAACAAAGGTTAAGAACCACTGCCCTACTCAATGCAAAAATTCTAAATTGAAGTATACTGTATTTGACAAATGGTTGTCTAGTTTTCTCTTGAATGCCTTCACCACCTCCTGAAGTATTTGGTTCCATTGTCGTACTACTCTAACCAACTTTTCCTCTAAGGTGCGTGCAGAGCTCCATCAGCACTGTGTAGTGGCAGCCAGTGATGATGCCTGTTTAATTCTAGTTTACCAAATGAAACTCTGCCCTGTGCACACACATGGAAAATTGGCTCTAACAGTTAGAGCCAATTCAACTGCTAATTCAACCAAAATCCTGCTTCCTGTAATTTGAGCTTATTATTATGTGTCCTGAATTTTTGAGATGATTTAGAACAGATCCCTCTCCTCCATATGACAATGCAGTGGTGCCTTGCATAACGGGCGCCCATTTAATGACGGATCTGCATAGCGACAATGTTTTTGCAATCGCATAACGATGTTTCCTATGGGGAAAAATCGCTTTGCGATGATCGGTAAGCTGTTTTGCTTACCTATTTTCGCATAGCAATTTTCTCCCAGCTGATCAGCGGTTCCAAAATGGCTGCCGGGTAAAACAGGGACGGATTCCTCGCTTACCGGGCAGCTAAAATGGCCGCCGTATGGAGGATTTTCGCTTAAAAGGTAAATTTCAAGCCCATAGGAACGCATTGAAGGGGTTTCAATGCATTCCTATGGGCTTTTTAATTTCGCATAGCGACGAATCCGCATAGCGACGATTTTTGCTTCATGGATTATCATCGCTATGCGGGGCACCACTGTATTTCAAGTATTTGAAGAGTACTATCATATCTCCCACCAGTCTTCCTTTCTCAGCCCAGTTCTTTCAGTCTTTCCTCAGAGGCCTTGATTTCCAGTCCCCGATAATCCTTGTTGCTCTTCTCTGAGTCTGCTCCAACTTGTCTGCATCCTTCTAAAGTGTGGCATGCAGAACTGGACACAGTAATCAAGATAAGTCCTAAGCAGAGCCAAGTAAGAGGGAAACTAGTACTTCACAGGATTTGGAGACTATACTTCTGCTAATGAAGCCTAAAACAGCATTTACCTTTTTTGTAGCAACATTGCATTGTTGCCTCATATTCAGTTTGTGATCTATAACAATTCTAAGATCTTTCTCCCTCATAGTATTACTGTGCTAAGAATCCTCCATTTAGTAACTGTGCATTTGGTTTCCTTTTCCTAGGTGTAGAAGTTAGCAATTATCCCTGTTAAAAGATAGCTGTAAAAGATTTATTGATCAAGCTGTTTTGAAGTAAATGACATTTTATATTTAAGAAAATTTAAGATATATCACACGTTCTTTATAATAATGAGATTTAAAATAAAGAAGACATGAAGGGCCATGCTGCCAGAGGGTCTGCTTGTCCACTATTTTACTTTAAATAAACCACAGTTCCCTAAGTTCAGATGACACAGGGCACTATAGTTAGTTCAAAGCTGACACCCTCTTATTATGGGCCCCAAGGAGAAGGAAGTAGAAAACGTATGTGAGCCTGAGAATGTTTTACTCTTGTAGCAAAAATTCAGGGGCCTGGATCCAAAGATCGCAGCATGCTTTGCATAAGCAAAGGTACATTTTCAAAACTTAGGAAAAGAGGCATCTGTTCTCTTTGGATTCACCCAGCAGCACAACATTGATTCCATATTAACTGGGTTTGCAGGCATGCCTGCACCATCCTTTGAAACGAGACAGTCACTAACTGGTGTCAGGAGGTCCCAGATAGCTCTACAGATGCCAGGACAGTCCTGTTGTTCTCCTCCCTGCATCTGAAATAGTCACAAAGTGTGCAACATGGCTTCTTACTCCACCAACTCTACATTGAGTCTCAGCTATCATGTCCCAGCACATCTGAGCCAAACCAATAAGACGGTCATATATGAAAGAGCTGTACAATTGAATGTATGTATTTTTAACACTCAGCTTGTCAGTGAACTCTCTCTTTCCTGCAGAACAAAAAATGTATAGAACATACAGAACAGAATAAGCATTACTAATGTAAACTTACCGACCATCTTTCTGAGCAGCTCCACCTTCAGTTATTGTTTTCACAAAGATTCCCAGCTTTTCCAGTCCCTGATCTGCACCAACACCCATTCCAATTATACTGATACCCAAGCCACTGTCACCTACAAGGTGGACAAAAACAAAATGCCATGCATTTTAAAAGCTAGTTTTACAACTAACAGCTCTTTGTTATAATGTAAATCAGACCTGGGCAAAGTGAGGCCCGCAGGCCACATACAGCCCGTGAGCCGCTCCTGTCCGGCCCGCCCGTCGCCGCTGAGTGAGCCAGAGCTCTGGCTCTGGTCACCCAGCATGGCAGTAAGCAAAACTTGCGAGATCCGACGCTGGGATCTCATGAGTTTTGACTGTTACTCTTTGACTGCTACTCAAGAGGCCGGAAGCGATCCTTGCGCAGGCGATGTGATGACGCATCACGTCGCCAGCATGGGACAGAAGACAGTCAGAGGAAGGCTGCGGGAGAATGGAGGACAAGTGAGTTAGCTCGGTGTCAGGTTTTTTTTCCCCCTTTCATTTTATTTTTAAGTAAAGTTGGTTCGGCCTCCGAACACAGTTCAGATTTTTCATGTGGCCCCCTAAAGAAATTAATTGCCCATCCCTGATGTAAATCCTACACCTTAAACTGAAACAGCATTTCAATAATGAGTTTCAAACTATGTTTCAATCTATGATAACTGAAAATAGAAATAGATTTATAAATTCTTTATGGAAGTAATGTACTATGACCGAACCGATTTTCTGTCAGGATTCTGCACTTTTTTGTATTGTAATGTCTTCTGTTTTTTAAAATTATTTCTAACTATTTGGATAGAAGTTTGAAATCTATTCAAGTCCTGAAGCTATCATGCAGTTAGGAAGCAATTCTCTTCTAACCTGACAACATACTACAATTCCTTATACTACAATCCTACATATGCCTAGTCACCAATGTGTAACCTGCTTCAGTGGGGCTTATTTCCAGGTAAGAGAGTATAGGAGTAGATCTAAAGCTACACAGATTTTTAAGTCATGACAAAGTATCTGACAATTTCCATCTCTAATTTTAACTATTTTGAACCATATTAACATAGCACATATTTTACACATGCACCTTTTTCAATTTCCACAGGAAAAACCTCCATTTTTTCCACCCTCTTCTCAAGTTCATATTCTGCAGATGCTGCCACAGGGTCAACCTCTTCATTGCGTCTATCATAGTCTTCATTTGAATAAGTACTGAATACCTGTGAAAACAAAACAAATTAGAACAATTGTTTCTTTATGCAAATTGACTAGATCCAACTCTCCTAACAACCATATATTGCTTCCATTTAAGTACTAATATAGAACACTTCTTTTTCATGTCTGTGAGACGGGAGGCAGGCATGACAGCTTCCCTGCCTGAGCGCTGTCTATTTTCCCAAAGAAAACCATGGACCTTAAATCAGAGAAGCCTAAAATGGAGGGAAGAATGACGACCTCTTCTGGAGAAAGAGAGGAACCAAAGGGGGAGACAGAAAAGGCAGGAAAGACAGTTGAGGAGGTGACTACCCTGTTAGAAAAGGCAGGAATACAAGTAGGGACATATTAGGAGGTTGGGTTGAAGGTGGTGGAGGTGAAAGAGGTGGATACGAAAGTCAAGTTGAAGACCCCTTCTACAGCATGGAAATAGATTTGGCTTGAGAAGCCATGGACTCATAAAGAAAGATTAGGTAGGATAGAATCAAACGTGAGGGGGGGAGAGAAACGGGAAAAGAAGTGATGACAGAAGTACAAGGAAACTTCAAGATGCCAGAGCCCGGGTCACGGGAATACCAGGAATTACCACAACCAGGACAAACCCATTTACAGAGATGAGACTGCCCCATTTGTCAATTTCACCAGATTCACCACTGACTGACTTTTACCCAAAGTTGGGATTCAAATCATTGGGTTTTACTGTTAAAAACCTGTTTATAGACCAAAAACTCAATCCCTTCCTCACACCGCTGTGTGAGGAAGAGAAAGCTTCCACTCTTGTTGATGTTCAGTTTCTTAGTCCTACCAGAAAAAAATGTTGAAGGTTTGTATCTAGCTAATGTGTCCTCATTACTTGACCCAAAGACGGAGCCAAGGTGGAGTTAGCCAGAGACAAATAAAGAACCCTCACAATGTCTCTTTGCAACCTTGCTAATCCTAACTGTTTGTACTCTATACTGAAAATCTCCACTGTCCAACAAATAGGCACAAAATCCCATGGGAAAGGAATAAAAATTGAATATCAATTTATAAAACTAGTTATATGTTGTCAAATTTAGTTCTATAACACAGATGTTCAAATCAGTATACAATCTAAATTATTTATTTTCTTTTATATGAAAAAAAGAGAAATGAAAGGACATCAGGATTGGGTATAAAGAGATTTGTGGACATTGGGAGAAGGGATAACAGTGAATAGCAGCAACCAAAAGAGCTGTGAAGGACATTGAAGTCTTATTTCCTGATTGCCAACTAACTGACCTTCCCACTTCTCCAGCAAATTTTATTGCTTTATTGAATATTAATATTTATTTATTATTATTT